TCCTAATCAACCTAAGTTAAAAAATAACTAAGGGTTCATCTTAGGTTTCTAGGTTGTTACGTTATCCTAAGTATGAAGGTGCATATAAAGGTCGAATGATGCTAATTTGACAGTTAATCTCCTCCCTTCAATGACGCTTTCGAATCTTGAACTTGATAGCATCTTGACGATGAAATAGAGTGAGATTTACAATGGACTCCACGAAATTAGCCAATTACAACTATGATCTAACAGAAGTTTTGCCACTTCTTTGTTTATAGCTCTCGTCCTTATGGGGCAAAGCTCTTCCTTTAATGTTTCATAAGTCAGTAGTCGGTGTCAACACCTAGCTTATGAACAATTACCTTGGGTGCTATCCCTTGTATGTCTTCTTACTTCCAAGTGAAGATGTTTGAGCTATTTTGTAAGAAGGTAATGAGCTTCTTTTTTATCTCACTACCCAACATAGAGCAATAAAAACCATATGTTCAGAATCATCATCCACCTAGATAAGGTGTAGTTCTTCTAAAGGCATGGGCCTTGTATCCTCATCCCTCATATTCAAGTCGTCAACTTGAACTGTATCTACCTCCTTTTGCTTCATGGAGGTTATGTAGCACTCCCTAGCTGTTCTTTGGTCTCCTTTAACCACACTAACCCCATTCTCAATGGAGAATTTCATCACCGGGTTGTAGGCAGAGGGAACTTGAGAGCATTTAGGGAAGGTCTTCCTAGGATAACATTGTAGGCTAAGGGAGCCTCAACAACAAGAAACTTAATAGCAATGGTGTCTTGGCAGGGAAGTTGTCCAAGTGTCATAATAAGTTGAATAGATTCAAGTGAATATACCTTCTCTCCTGAGAATCCCAGTAGGGGAGATCTAATGAGTTGAAGTTGCTCTCGGCCATTGCCAAGTTGATCAAAGGCATATGAGAAGATGATGTTGGTTGAGTTGTCATTGTCAACAAGAACTCAGTAGTTACTCTTATTGGATATCAATCTCCTAAGAGAATTGGAGACCAATGAAAAGTGGCATCTCTGCATTGATTTCATCAACCTAAATTGAGCTTGTCCAAAGGATTGTTTTATTCTCCTCAAATTAATCTTATAATTAAAGCCACCTCAGGTCATGAGCTTCTTAGCTTCATGGATGCATTCTCAAAATATAACTTGATCAGAATGGACCCAATCAATCATGAGGAGGCTTCTTTCCTATCCAAATAGTGGACCAACTATTATCAAGTCATGCCTTTCAGTTTGAAGAACGCAGGGGTCACCTACCAAAGGCTAATCAATAAAATGTTCATAGACCAGATCAATACCTTCATGGAAGTATATATTAATGACATGCTTGTCAAGTAGCTAAAAGCCCCCCTTCATATCTAGCATATCGAGGATTCTTTTAAGATCATTAGGAAGTATGAAATGAAGTTGAACCCCACCACGTGTACCTTTGGAGTATCAACTGGAATGTTCCGCAATTTCATTGTTAACCAAAAGGGAATCGAAGCTAGTCTCGAGAAGATTAAATTGTGTCTTGATATGAAGTCACCCTCCAGCACTAAAGGAGTCCAACGCCTCAAAGGGAGAAAGTTGCCCAGAACATGTTTTTTTCTTGAGCTACTGACAAGTGAAAACCATTCTTCAAGGTAGGTTTTCAATGGAATGGCTAGTGTGAGGAGGCCTTTCAATCTTCAAAGGATTATTTGAGCACGCCACCAATCTTGGTTAGTTCAAAACCAAGAGAGCTCTTGACACTATACCTAGTAATTTTTTATTTTTCATTCAGTGATGTCTTGGTAAGAGAGGATAAGAAAAGAAGGTTCAAAAACTAGTTTAATTCTATAGCAAGGCCTTAAAAGGAGCAGAGGGAAGACACCTGAAGATGCAGAAACTAGTCTTAGTCCTTATAATTGTAGCAAGAAGGCTCAAACCTTACTTTCAAGCTCACAGTATTGAATTTCCTAATAACCAACCAATGAAACAAGTCATGTATAAACCTAAATATTTAGGTCAACTTGTTAAATGGGCTATTGAGCTTGGTGAATTTGATATTAAGTTCAAGCCACAAATTGTAATCAAGTGCCAAGTCCTGACAAACTTTATAGCAAAGTTCACTTCACTCCCCAAGCAAATCACATCTTAGAGCAAAAAGGATTTCATACCTAATGTCCCAGTATGGGAACTACATGTAGATGGAGCCTCTAACGCCCAAGGAAACAAAGTTGGGATCATCCTAACCTTACTAGAAGGTATTGACCTCGAATATGCTCTAAGATTTAATTTCAAACCCACCAACAACGAAGTATAGCACGAAGCACAGATTATCAGGTTCAGACTAGCCCATTCAATAGAAGCTAAGAAATTACTAATTCACAACGATTCCTAGTTGGTGATGACAAAAGTTGGTCTGAATATAAAGCAGATGAGGATAGGATGGTTGTGTATTTGAAGGTCATCAATGAACTACTAGAAAATTTTCTTCATGTGAAGATCTTACAAGTACCAATACCATAGAACACCAGAACTGACTCATTTGCTAGGTTGACACTAGCAACGTGGGTGGAGTACTTGTTGGAGCCCATCATTTCAAAAAGCTCAGTAGAGGAGGAGATGATGCTCATTAAAGAGGCTCCGAGATGGATGGACTCATATTCAACTATCTTTAGTAGGGAGCTCTTCCGCAAGATCCAAAAGAGGCATCAAAACTAAGGAACATGTCAGCACAATTCCTCATAGTACAAGGAAAGATCTATAAAAGAGGGTATTCATGGCCACCTTGAGATTTATCGCCCTAAAAGAAGCTGATTATGCACTCAGGGAGATTCACAAGGGAATTTGAAGGAATAACATTGGAACGAGAACAATAGCATACAAGGCATTAAGACAAGGCTATTTCTAGCCTTCTACTACAAAAGACTCAGCTGACCTAGTTAGAAAATGCAAAACATGTCAGATATACCCTAGCATTCTCCGATGGCCACTATAACAGCTCACCCCAGTCTTAAGCCCATGGCCTTTTCAGCAATGGGGTATCAATATTGTGGGACCTATCCCTATAGGAGTAGGTTAGTGAAAATTTGTGGTTGTAGCCATAGATTACTTCACAAAGTAGAAAAATATAAGCCACTTACAACCATCATTAAGTAAAAAATAAAGAATTTCATGTGGAAATCCATTATTTGTAGCTTCGGGATCCTTAGAGCCATAGTTTTAGACAATGGAAAGCAGTTTGACAACCATGGTTTCAAATTTTTCTATGTTGAACTGGGGATTAAGAACTATTTGTACTCACCAACTCAACCTCAATTAAATGGTCAAGCCGAGGTGACTATCTAAACTATTGTCGAAGCATTAAAGACTAGGCTAGAGGCATCAAAGAACTTGTGGGTAAACCATCTTCCAAGCATACTATGGGCTTATAGAACAACAATCGGATTGCCACTAATGAAACACCCTTCAGCTTAACCTTTTGGGACTGAGGTTGTTGCACCGCTTAAGATAGGTCCTTCATCACCAAGAACTGAGCTATTTAACCCCGTGCTAAATGAAAGATATTTTCTCCTCAACTTAGACCTTTTTCATGAAAAAATGAAAGAAGTCTTACAGAGGATCATAGCTTACCAACAAAGAACAGCTTGGTATTATGATCAAAAAGTGAAGAAAATGAGTTTCAAGGTGAGAAACCTAACTCTGAAGAAATTATTGCTAGCCATAAAAGAACCATGTCATGGGATGCTTGGTCCTAATAGGGAAAAACCTTATGTGGCAAAAATAATAGTCAAACCTAGCAACTGTGAACTGCAAACTGAGGAAGGATGCACTCTGGTGCACTCCTGAAATGTGAAACCCTCAGGAAATACCATCAATAAGCCAGGTGGGCCCCTAATTTCTCCTTTTTTTCTATATAAAAAGGATATTTTCTTCAAAATAAATTCATTAGTAACACTCCTTGTTCAAGGATATTTTTACAAAGATTGTTATTCAATTAGCTGCTAATAAGGGTGAGACAAGTTTATCAGCCTTAGAACTTTTCAGCTCTTCCCTTAATGATAGGCTTCTTAGCCTGAATTGCTCTTTAGCTTAGCCCACAAGTAATAGGTTTTTCATCCTGAAGAGTTCTTTAACTCTTCCTTTAAGAATTTTCAACATGAATAGCTTTTTAGCTCTTCCCTATAGGCTTTCCAACTATTCCCTTAATGAAAGGTTTCTCAGTCTAAAGAGTTTTTCAGCTTATCAAACAAGTGACAAAATTTTCACCCTAAAAAGCTCTTTAGCTCTTCCCTTAACAATATGTTTTTTAGCTCTTCCCTTAAGGCTTTTTAGCCTAAAAGCTCTTCAGCTCTCCCTATGAAAAGTAGGCTTCCTAGCCTAAGGGATTTTTAGCTATGAAAAAAAAAAAAAAGTTCCCCACACTTAGAATAATCGTAGTAAAATGCAAGCTCCTTAACTTGGAGACACCAGAGGCTATTCAAGCTCCTTATCTTGACGAATGGTTTAGACCACTCAGTCTAAGGGGCCACCCAAAGTAAAGCCTGAACAGCCAAAACCTTATGAAGAGTTTGACTCCTACACGGCTAACACTTTCCAATAGTGAATGGGGAAAGTAATAACTATTATGCTAGAGGCAAAACTTACTTGACCTGAACTAGATATGACAACACCACAATAGAAAATTAAAAGGTAGATAGAAGGAAAAGGGATTTTTTGTTGCAGACAAAAAGATTTCAGATTACAGGAATCAAAAATGTCCTAAACACTTAGAAAAAATTTAAAAAAAAAAAAGGGAAAGAAGTTGGCTTCTCAACTCGCAATATTCTACTCAAGCTCATCAGTCTACTACTCAGTAGTATCTACTGCTAGCTTGGCCTCACCTTCCACTCTATCCCTAGTAGCCTCTTCAACATCTTCCTCGTCCCTTTTAGAAAGTGAAGGCTCAAAGGAGTCGAACTCAAGCTTGGCAAAATTGTCTTGAGGGTATTGTTTCTTGACTTAATCCCTCAACTCTTCTTATCCACTTTCTACAACTCGACAATAGTTTGGTCCTTAGCCTTCATCTCAGCCTCCAGCTTAGAACATCTTTTGGTTGTCGCAACCAGCTTCGACTTCAGTAGGGCATTCTCCTCCTCAGTTCTAACTTTTTCAAACCAAGCTACCTCAATGGCCTCAAACACCTCTATAGACTTAGCCTTAGCTGTTAAAAAAAGGACTATTGAGTTGCCAACTTATCCTTCCAAGATTACTCAGAATCTTTGAGAGGATTGGCTTGGGAGATCAACTTATTCATCTACTTCTTCAGCGTATTAACTCATTGACCTTATCACTATGTTGTTTCCCCAACAATTGGGCTTTCATGGACATGGATCTGATATGAGTGATAGCCTACAAAGAGCAAAAAAAAAACTTGCTTAAGGAAAATTCCTTCATAAAAGAAAGTGAAATACAAGAAAAATAAAAGACTTACTATAGCGAGGCCATGAAGGGTCTTTGTAGTCTTCTTAGGGAATTTAAACTTACACACAATTCAAAAGTCAGCCTTAGGAATAATAGCAGAAAGAACCTACATTGCATAGAAGGATCAGTGCCTCATGAGAATGACCAGGAAGCCCAGAACTATTATTGGCTACTTGTGGAGTGGTTGGAGATGGAAGTGTAGAAGTTTCTGGAGGAAACAAAATGTTGAGGTCTTTCTTAGAAAGAGCAGTCACCTCCTTATGGAGAGTGGCCTTAAGGCCTTCTCGCCTTTCTCTAAAGGCAACCCTTCTTGAGATAGTGGAAGGTTAGAAGCTCAAGTTTCCTTATGGCTTATCAAGACATCATCACAAGGAGGGAACACAGACATTTTCACAATTAATAGGTTAATTGTGTTAGTTAAACAAGTTAAAAGAGTCATAGTAACTCTAATTAGGGTTAGTGCATAAATTAGGGTTAATGCGCTAATTGTTTAACTAACACCAAGCGGCACCTAATGCTATACACCATACTATCTACTAGTTATATACTTCACGCATGATACAGTGATGTACATGACTGGGCTTTGCGTAACAGTCAATTGACTGGTTATAGACGGGTTAAGTCTTGCCATAGCCAATACTTTTGACTCAATGCGTAAACCGAAATCTCATAATCAGTGAATCATCAACCTGAAGATTGAATAACTGTAGCTTTCCTTCTGAATGGTTTGCCTTCTGGTCTACTTCGGTCATTTGAGTGCATAGAGACATACCTACCTGCTAACCTAATCAGTTTTTGGATAGGAATTAATATACATCATACCTACCAGTTGACTTTCTAGTAAAATGGGGGTTAATTGTTGTAAGGTGATATTTCCAAAACTTAGCCAATATAATGCATATGGAATCCCCGAACTGGAGGGTATCTTTTCATTATCGCATCTCGTATTTTTTAATTATCGCATTTCCATAGTATTATTTTATTTTATTTTATTTTATTTTATTTTAAATCATAGCACAAGCTATTTCTTTGAATTTTGTATCTGTAACAACTTTATCATTTCTATTTTGATTTCTAATATTCAGTTCCCTGTAGGTTCGACCTTAGAGTTAAGCCGAATATTATATTACAAATTGACCACTTCTACTTAGGTGTATACCACTATTCAAACCGAAAGTGAGTCAAGATTTATGGCCAGGTTGAAAATTTCATATCTGCATGTTAAAGAATTTGAAGAAGTCTATGGAGTCTTTCAAGATAATTCTGAAATGACCAAGTTGAAAATTTTTCCTTTCGCTTTGAAGTACAAAGTTAAACTGTGGCTAAATTCATTAAAAGCCCAGTTTATTCCGAGTTAGCAAGTATTGTAAACTGAGTTTTTCAAAAAAAAAATTCCTATGCATCGCACTAATGCATTGAGACGTCAAATCATGAATTTTTTTATAAAAGAAGGGAAATCTTGTCACCAATGTTGGGAGAGATTCAAGGATCTTCTCCAAGTTTACCTGCATCATGCATTTGAGAGTTGGACCCTTGTAGGTTTTTTCTATGACACCCTCCCGTATGCATTGAGCCAGTTTGTTGAAATGATGGCACAAGAAGAATTTATGAGTAAAAGTCTGGAGGAGGCATTCAAGTTCTTTGATACCATTTCTAAGAGTTCTCAAATGTGGAACTCAGCCTCTCCGAATATTATTGAGTCCAAGCCATCTACATCCCAAGGAGGGAAGTATACGTTAAAGAAGATGATGACTTAAGGGCTAGAATCTCTACTCTGTACCAAAAGTTAGAAGCATTAGAAATGAAAAAAATGAAGGAAGTGTTTGTAGTGTCCACCACTGAGCAATCATTTGAAATCTGCCCATCATTCCAGCATTCAAAGAAGTCTTCATTGAATAGCCCAATGTCATTCCAACTTTAACAAGCCTTATGCCAATCCTTATTCTGAAACCTACAACCCAGGGTAGCGGAATCACCCGAATTTCAATTGAAAAAACACATAGCCTGTGAGTCAAAAACCAGGTCCACCTTCGGGTCAACCCCCAACTCAGCAGTCATATCAACCCCCAACTCAACAGTCATATCAACCCCAAACTCAGTAGTCGTATCATCCATTTCAACCCCCACACAAGAGGATTCTAAAGGATATCATGAATCAGTTTATCCAGAGTCAAATGAAGTTTAATACTCAGCATACCCATGCATTTAATGATTTTAAAGCTCAAACTTCATAGAGTATTGAAGATATCAAGATTCATCTAGCCAAACTAACCCAGTCCTTGAGTACATCAAAGAAGAAAAAATCCTCATCTCAACCAACACCTCCTCAAAGTCAAAACCAAGCTAATGTTGTGTCTTCCGAACCATCTCCAAGTCAATTCCAAGCAATTACCACATTGAAAAGTGGTAATTGACAAAACCATTAGAGACATGTTAATTCCAAAGCCAAAACCTAAGTCAATCCCAGTCAATGAACCAATTGAGCCTAAAACTGTAACTAAAAAGGAACCAAAACCGCCAAAGGAAAAAGAATCTTTGTGTCCTATTCCTTCACCTTTTCCTTAAGCAATCAAGAAACCTAAAACACCAGCTAATCATTCTAAAATTTTTGAACTGTTTAAGAAAGTAAAGATTAACATCCCCCTGTTAGATGCAACCAAGCAAGTTTCATCCTATGCCAAGTTTTTGAAGGACCTTTACACAGTCAAAAGAAATATCAATGTACAAAAAAGAGTATTTTTAACTGAGCATGTTAGTTCTATCATCCAGTACAAGGCCCCTTTTAAGTACAAAGATCCTGGACGTCCTACAATGTCGTGCATAATCAAAAAAATTTGGATTGAGCAAGCCCTGCTTGATCTGGGAGCTAGTGTTAATTTGCTTCCATACTCGGTCTATAAATAGTTAGAGTTGGGTGAGTTGAAACCCACCAATGTCACATTACAATTGGCAGACCGATCTGTGAAAACTCTATGAGGAATTGTGGAGGATGTGTTAGTCCAAGTAGACAAATTCTATTTTCCAATGGATTTCATTGTCTGAGACACTCAGCCAGTTTGAATGCTTTCACATACATTCCTATCATTCTAGGTCAACCATTCCTTGCTAAATCAAATGCATTGATTAATTGTAGGAATGGAGTCATGAAATTTTGATTTGGAAATATGACCAATGAGTTGAACATCTTTAATGTGACAAAGCACCCAGGTGAGGAAGGAGAAATTTGCGAGGTATATAAGATTGTAGAGGAGAAAGTTTACACCTCTTCTTATTCTGACCCTCTACAAGTCTGTTTGATTAATTCTATTAATGATAATGGGAATCCTAGTCGGAATTTTTACTCTAATTTGTTAAATTCTTCTCAGGAATTATCAGGAGATGTAAGCAAATCAAACAAGAAGAAGTTCATTGAAAGAAACAAGCCCAGACTGAAACTAAGCACTAACTCTAATTGGGAACTTAATCCCGGTTGATCTATCCCCTATGCACATCTTGTATATAGTAGTTATAATTTTTCTTTTGTGTTTTCATTTCTTTTGTATAGTTTCTTTGTTTGTCTTATAGATTAGGTTTTGCAATATGGATGTGTCTCGTCCCCAGATCTTATTAGCAATTGTCTTATATTTTATTTCATTATGCTATTCATTGAGAACAATGTTTAATTTAGGTTGGGGCAGGGAACAATCCATATTCATCATTGTGACTGACAGACGTTAAAGAACTGGATAGCAAGTTATTTTTGAGTCAATTTTTTACAAAAAAATCCATTTTTTTTTAAAAAAAACATAATGGATGCACCATTGTTTTAGTTTAGTCTGAGCATGCTACGCATTTTTTCAAAAGATATACATTCGTTGATCATAGCAAAAGCAAGAATTGTTAGAAAGTTAGAAATCTTTGAAAGTCAAGCAAAACCCTTGTGTAGAAGGAGTTCCTTTGCCAAACGTCGACGAGTGAATCGTCTTAGTGGTTGTGTGAAGTGCGGACGTTTAATGCATTTGAGATAATACAATTAGTGTGCAGAACTGATTTCAGGTCGAGCATTATATCATCTTGATTGGATTAAGCATGGGCAGAGTAAAGAATATCCTGAGACGTCATCCTATTCCGCTCCCATGTTGTCAAGATATGTGAGAAGTGAAATTAATCGTGTCATTGATGTTGTTGAATTAGAAGAATCTAATTAAAATCGATTGATCAAGGAATGTGTGAAATTAAATTTTGTGTAAATATGATAATTAGGATGTTTTGTTTGTGTTTAATTGTGTTATGTTAGTAGTTAATTGTAGAATGTTAAGTGAATTAGTAATTTAATTGTGGAATTAAACTGATAATTGAAACTGCAAGATTGTAACTGAAGATTTCACGCACCAGAGCAGCCTCAGCCATAAGAGGAACAGCCGTATATATTAATTGATGATCGATTCGACAGACAGATTTTACTAGAGTTGGAGACCACTGTCACCCAGTTTGGGACCAGTATCACCCAGCTTGATCAACACATGGCTGAATATGAACAGAACCAGACTGAGATATTGAGGCTACTTAGAAGACACTTCGGTGGAGGCCCTTCTACTTCCTAATCAAAGATCTTTCAAGAGAATCCATAGCATTATCACTTCTACTACTACTTTCCTGAACACTTTTTAATTTCTGCATTTTCATTTTAGTATTTATGTCTTGAATGATGTTGTGAATTTCATTTTTGAAGTAATCTAGTTAATGTTTTTGATTAAACTGTGTTAAGTTAGGATGCGTATTTCATGTGATTCACGTTACAATTAAGTTACTATTCTCATGCTTTGCAGGGATGCCCTTAAACCGATTGTGCGGGATTTTCATACCTTGGTTGTGCACTATCCTAATATTTTCTTAGAAACTTTTATTCTGAACAAGTGGAATGCCTTATTTTGAGAAACTTTTCTAAATATTACACTTATTTATTAAGCTTACATATGTAGTGGAGATGTAAACCCTATTACAGATTTTGAGCTCATCCTTACTCAAGTAAGAATCTTTGATTCAGCCATAAATTTCTTTGAATAATCTCATTATTTTTGTTTTGATTAGTGCTCATTGAATTACAAAGTTAGCATTTGCCATAAATTTTCAATATGGAATTATACAGGTGTATGATTTCTGGATAATGATCTTAGGTCATATTTGATTTAATTTTGAGCCTTAACAATTTCTTTCACAAAATTATATCCCTAGTTAGCCGTAATTGAGTCTTAAAAAGTATAATTTTTTTTTCATATAACTCATATGATAACCAAGCCACAGAAAAATAAATCTGACATACCTTT